CTGTTGGACGTAGTTTGTCGTCTTATCCAGGATGCGGATGTAGTTTGTTGTCATACACTGGACCGTAATTTTAAGAAGACAGAATTCATGGTTGTAGGCCAAAGAAAATGCTGTCGTCACAATATGTGAATTACGGGGACATCAGTATCAAGCTGGTGCGTAATTCTATTATCTGAGCTGTGCAAAAGGGACGACGAAAAAGTGTGACACAGAGATACAAATGTACAGAGAAAATTCAGAACAATTTTGTCACAAATTAAGAAAAAAACTTGTCCAAGTAAAATGGGGTTCTGACAAAAAACGCCATGGAAGATATATGAGAAAAAAATGGGCGAGTTTTGAGATGAATACCTGTTACAAAGAAGCTGTTGGTTTAACTTTTTACACTGCTTTCATTCTTCGGACTGTTATCCTCATCTTTGTTCTCATATTCACGACATTTCGGCCGTTGTACGCTCCGGACTTTCGTTGAAACATGAGACATTCGGTTAATAAGTCCACAAAATTCCCACCTCTGATGTTCTTAAAGTCACATGTCCCAGTCGGTAAAAACATGAGTTGAATCCATTTGGGAATTCAATACTTCGAGATAATCATCTGGAAGAGGCATGGGACGTGGAACTAGAACAATCTATCTCATGACGAAATTCCAATCCTCTGAAGAAACGGAATCGGAAAATAGTACTTAGTCCTTACCGTTTCGTCATTTGATTTTATCAAGGCAAGTGACGATAAACAAAATCGAAATGTTGTGTAGATGCATGAAATTCAAAAAATTTAAAAAGGCTTGGTAAGCCTCTTTTTGAATATTAGTAACTTTTCCGTTTTTTTTTTTTTTTTTAATAAGAGTGTTTATTTTAATTTCCATGTCGACAATGTGTTAAAGTTCTCAGAATAAATCTGTAGAAAAAAAAATTGAATAATATATATATATATATATATATATATATATATATGTGTGTGTGTGTGTGTGTGTGTGTGTGTGTGTGTGTCTGTCTGTCTGTCTGTGTGTCTGTCTGTGTGTCTGTCTTTCAAGATCGTGATGATCAAAGTTTCTGAAGAAATGGGAGTTATGTGCCCTTATCCAGAATACTGTCACATCAGATGTTTCCCCTTTGCTTCTCTCACGGGGAAAAATTCCTTTCCTTAACTCGGTATCGATAAACGAGATGCCCGTAAATAAAACGGTCGCTGATTGCGACTCCTAAGGGGTTGGTGCGGAAATGAAAGGGAGCAACGACACTGGGTGGGAGGGACGAAAGGATAGAGAACAAAATGGCGCTACGAGAGAATTGAAGATTAATAATATTTTAGCCTCGTTCCTTTTCTACAATTTAATTCCAAACTCATTCTCACTTTATCTTTTATGCGTTCGAACACACTTTCTTTCTTTCTTTCTTTCTTTTTTTTTATCTGTTTATTAATTCCTTCCGTATGTCCGTCTTTTCTTTCTTTCTTTCATTCTTTCTTTCTTTCTTTCTTTCTTTCTTTTTATTTCTTTATTAATTCCTTCCGTATGTCCGTCTTTTCTTTCAATCTTTCTTTCTTGCATTCCTTTCTTTCTTTCTTTCTTTCTTTCTTTCTTTCTTTCTTTCTTTCTTTCTTTCTTTCTGCATTCCTTCCGGCATTTCTTTCTTTCTTTCTTTCTTTCTTTCTTTCTTTCTTTCTTTCTTTCGTTCTTTCTTTCTTTCTTTTGTTCTTTCTTCCTTCTTTTCTTCTTCCTTTCTTTCCGTTTACGTTCTTTCTTTCTTTCTTTCTTTCTTTCTTTCTTTCCTGCTTGCTTGCTTGCTGGCTTTCATTCTTTGTCTTTATTGTTTTTTTCTATTCCGGCATTTCTTCTTTTCTTCCCTTATTTCTTCTTTTTATCTTTCTTCCTTTCTTTCTTTCTTTCTTTCTTCCTTATTTTCTTCTGCCTTTCTTTCTTCCTTATTTTCTTCTTCCTTTCTTCTTCCTTTCTTTCTGCTTTCTTTTTTTCGTCCTTTCTTTCTTTCATTCTTTCTTGCTTGCTTCCGGCATTCCTTCTTTTCTTCCCTCAAATCTTCTTTCTTTCTTTCTTTCTTTCTTTCTTTCTTTCTTTTCTTCCTTCTTTTCTTCTTCTTTTCTTCTTCCTTTCTTTCTGCTTTGGTTCTTTCTCTTTTCTTTTTCTTTCTTTCTTTCTTTCTTTTTCTTTCTTTTTTCTTTCTTCCTTTCCGGCATTTCTTCCTTTCTTCCCTCATTTCTTCTTTGTATCTTTCTTCCTTTCTTTCTTCCTTCCTTTCTTTCTTTCTTCTTTCTTTTCTTCTTCCTTTCTTCTTCCTTTCTTTCTTTCGTTCTTTCCTTTTTTTCTTTCTTTATTTTTCTTTCTTTCTTTCTTTCTTTCTTTCTTTCTTTCTCATTCATATTTCTCATACTTGTATGTTCCTTGTTTTCCACTGACCTACCACTTGAATCTCCACCCCACTTTGCGTCACCCTTTCTCTTCCACAGTTTTTCTGTTCCCATCGCTTTCGTCTTTTTCTAG